AGGAGACGCGTATGGTCACCTAGTGAGTACCCAGCAGTGAGAGCCATCCTGTAAAGTGGATTCCCAGCAGCTGAAGAGGATACTTGGGGTTTTCATCGAGTGCACAATTTCCTGAGATGATGAGTGGTTTAGTGTGCCCCAAATCACCTGTTAGCGACGGGAAGCGCCCTGTCCCGTACTGGTGTCTGCTTCTGTGGGTACGGGTTGGTTGGTGTCACAGTGGGAAAGGAGGAAGATGGAGTGTGACCTTAGGAAGCTGCTGGGTGTTGCCATATCGGGCGTTTGGGAGGCAGAGCTGCCTCGGCTGTCGAAGGGCGAGCTGACAGTGATTGACAGAGGTGGGGGGGTTTGAGTGCTGCTGCCGTTCCGCTAATGACAAACCGAAGGCACCTATGGGCAGGTGGCATTCCCTAATTCAATTTACAAGCCGGCGAGGAACGCTTGCAGCCTCAACTTAGATAAATCCCGGTGTTCCTTAGGAGGGTGTGGAGGAGCCTGCGGGTTACTCGGCTCCAAGGAAAGACATCTGAATTTTGCAGGCTGCTGGGGGAAGCTAATCCTGCCTCTCCTAGAGGATGCCATTTAAACAGCCTTTGTAAGTGGGCAACTTATCACTAACCTTGCAGATGGCAATTATCGTGCGCCTCTCAGAAAATGAATAAAGAGAGCTGTCAGCTCACGACGTGCGGGAACCAGCTCCCAGATCAGCTGCTAAATTCTTGCCAAAGCTCCAGTCACCTGCTTGGTTCAGGTGTTAGGCAGTCTAATTAACAGAGATCAAGGGGGCTTTATGAAAAAAGGGACTGCACTGGAATAGGAAAAGGAAACCCTTTATTAGCAGTGGCGAATGCATAGACCCGCAGAGCCCTGCTGATTCACAAATGCCATTACACGCCAGTTTGATGTTACCTCAGTGCACAAAAACATTTAGGAAAAGAGGTGACGCATGTTACTCATTACAACATCAGTAGTTTCTCAGCTGCTGAAAGATCTGAGTGATGAAACATGTTTTTTAAGCCCTTAGATGGTGCCAGGCGTTTGTTCAAGCCTCGAGCCCCCTACCTAGGATTGTCGTAATTGTGTGTCTGCCAGGATTGCTCCTGTCCCGGGGATGCCACAGGTGAAGAGGCAGGAGCGATGGGGCAGATCAGTACGGAGGGCAGCAGGCACATCCCCAGAGGCAACTCTTCATCCTCTGTGCTGTCCTCGGGTGACAAACTTGGTTGTGAACGTTTTTGCTAAACTGAGCTGAGACTCAAAGCAAACGTCTGCATCTCGCAAGCTCTTGGAATCTAAGCCGGAATACTGCGCCCAGACCGGCACAGAAGATGAAGGGACCTTTCCATCCGCTGGCTCTGGTCCACCAGCCTCTCCCTGCCCTTGTGGCAGCACTGGCCCAGGTGGGGCTCAGATAAACAGATTTTTAGGTTCCAGTAGCTCTGGTGTCACCACTGTCCTCCTCTGCACCCCACAGAACTGTCCCAAACCCTCCAGCACAATCAAGGACAGTGCACTGAGGGGAGTGGGCAGTAGCACCCACCAGCATCACTTTGATTAGGCAAGTTCCTTTTCATACAACAAAAATTCATGAACGGGCTGGACCCCCACGCCTGTGGCTGATTTGCCAAGATTTCCCGTCGGAAAATCTCGGCCCATCCATAGCTGTGTTCACGGGGCCTCGAGTCCTTCCCAGTCACTGAGTGTGTTTGTTGTTCACTCTCTGCCTCGTGCATCTGTTTCTACTCTGTGTTTACTGCTGGTTGTGGCAGTGGAAAGGTCCTCACGCTGGGTGGCCTTTTGGAGCATCCTTCTTTGGTGGCAGAGTAGTCCATCGCTTCATTTTTTTCCTTTTTTCTTTCCAGCGCGGGCGTTGGCCGGACCGGCTGCTTCATCGTGATCGACGCCATGCTGGAGAGGATAAAACACGAGAAGACAGTGGACATTTATGGGCACGTCACCCTCATGAGGTCACAGCGCAACTACATGGTACAGACAGAAGACCAGTACAGCTTTATACACGATGCCTTGCTTGAGGCTGTCGCTTGCGGCAACACAGAGGTCCCAGCGAGGAACCTCTACACCTACATCCAGAAACTGGCACAGATTGAAGTCGGAGAGCACGTGACGGGCATGGAGCTGGAGTTCAAGGTAACGGGAGATGCTTGACTGGGGCCAGCAGTCACTGGGGAAGGCTCACGTGTAGCAGACAGGGAGCCTTTATACGGCTGATGGGCACTTTCTGGTTCCATGTCAGAGAAGTAATTACTTTTCTGCCTTATGCTACTGCGGTTCCCTGGGGAGAGAACTACCTGCCGCTGCAGGAGGCTTGTCTGGTCATTTCAAATCCAGATTGAATTTGCTCACTCCTTAGATTGGGTTTTTAAGCTTTTTTTCTTTTTTTTTTTCTTCTTTGAAAGTTTTGCTGGGGGAAAAGTCTCAGACTCTGTCCTCACTCCCCAAAAAAAACCAAAAGGAGGGCATGCAAGGTTTACAACATGGTGGAACATGGAGGGCAAGTGGGCTGGCACAGGGCTCAAGGAAAATAAATAAGCTGAACTAATGGTTGTGACTCTGCTTTTGCCTTCAGCGACTCGCCAACTCCAAAGCCCACACCTCCAGGTTCATCAGCGCCAACCTCCCATGCAACAAATTCAAGAATCGCCTTGTCAACATCATGCCCTACGAGACCACGCGGGTCTGCCTTCAGCCCATCAGAGGAGTGGAGGGCTCAGACTACATCAATGCCAGCTTTATTGATGGCTACAGGTAATGGCCCCTCGCTGCCCTGCCACGGTCAGGGACTTGTCTGTCTGTGAGTCTGAGGATGCAGAAGTACTATGGGATAGACCAGGTCCTCAGAGGGGTAGTCTGTCGTGTCCCATCACCTCGCTGTACCTGCACAGTGGTGCAATACTAGAGGTAAATTCCCTCTTGCTGATGGCAGCCCACACACAGACTCAAATACAGCCTTCTCATAAGCTTTATTCTCTGTGGTCTTAAAATTACTTATTCCCTAGAGCAAACCAAACCCTTCTCCAGCTGCAGGTCCTAAACACAGAGCGGCAGTGAGGGGTGGATTTTGCCGTTGGGAGGTTTCTAAAAACAGATTAGCCTTTTCATTGCTTTTGTGATCTGGGGACGTTGCCATTCTGACAGCTTCCCACAGGCAATATGCACCACGTGCTCCAGCCCTCGGAGCTGCAGCCTTCCCCTGGTGTGCTCGGAGCCCAGCCTGCTAAAGCTGAGCCCTGACTCGGGGAACGGAGCAACCCCCCGTGCCCGTTTCCTCACCTCCGGGTCCGTGCAGCAGCCCTGGCTGCGGCGCCGGAGTTAGGGCACCTCCATGCCTGGCAGTTGAATTCTTGGTGCTACTCAGGCTCAGAAAACATGGATTCTAGTCCCAGGAATCCAGCATGGAGCATGGTACACCTTCTTCTGTAGGACATCATGCTAGAGTAATCTAGATACACCCCTTGGAAACGGTGTTTAGAGAAAGCTTCACCATTGGCTTTCTTTTTTTTGACCACGAGCACCAAAGACACCTCCCACCCCTTCAGACCTTGCACTGTTCTAGTTCTTGCCCAGCATTTCCATTTGTTCTCCTGCTCTCCTTCAGACAACAGAAGGCGTACATTGCTACTCAAGGGCCGCTGGCAGAGACCACAGAAGATTTCTGGCGGATGCTGTGGGAGAACAACTCCACCATTGTCGTGATGTTGACGAAGCTTCGCGAGATGGGTCGGGTGAGTGTGCAGTAAGGACAAGTGTGGGGGGGAAGCCTGCAGCACAAGGGCTTACAGAGATCTTTCTTTCCCTCTGGCAGGAAAAGTGCCATCAGTACTGGCCAGCGGAGCGCTCCGCCCGGTACCAGTACTTTGTAGTAGATCCTATGGCTGAATACAACATGCCTCAGTACATCCTGCGAGAGTTCAAGGTCACCGATGCCAGGGTGAGTGCTGCACAACGTGCAGCCTGTGCTTGCGAGGGTCCGAGCTGGGGCTGGGCTGGAGGGGCTCAAACCCACGCACCAGGGAAGGTGGCGTACAGAAAACACGGGGGTGTGGTGGGGTTGGGCTCCTGTAAGAAAGGCTGAGGTGTAAACACTTTGTCTGGGATTATCAGCAGTGGAGGAGAGTTTAGTTGTGATGAGGAAGAGAACACACAAACACAGATACATTGTACTTTTTTATATATATATAATCTTCTTACAAATTGGAAGTAGTTTTCTAACCTCTGCTTGCTAATCACAGTAGTGAGTCATTTTGTAGCTTTTGGTTTTTCACTTGGAGCTTCTATGAGATGAAAGCAGAAAATAGCGTCTCCCCCAGCTGCTAATAAAAACAGACTTGCAAGGGATACTTTTCACCCTACAGAAAACGTACGCTTCTCCTCGGGTTTGAAGAGGAACTGTCATTAGTCATCCTGAAAGGGGCACGTTCACTCAAATAATCTTCGATTCAATGTCAGATTTCGCCGCCGAAGGAACGTTTCAGTGCCTTCTGAAATTTGTTTAGCAAATGTAACCCTCATTCTCAAAGCAGACTCCTCTGCTTTTGAGGTTGCCAGCATTGTAGAACCTGATAATTCTATTTGCAAGGTTGAGAAGGAGGATGCCTCATCAGTCCTGGTAGAACAAGATTTATCTTCCTGTCAGCTGTAATTCTGACACTACAGCAACTCTTTCTCAAGATTGATAGAGAGGCCGTAACCTCACCTTGACTCTGCCTTTGCTGAAGACTCCATCTGTGCAGTCTTTGCAGCGGTCAGGGCTCTCAGCACACCTGCCAGGAGCAGAGATCCGGACTGACAAGCCCATTCCAGAAACGTCAGCTGCAACTTGAGCAGCTTCATCGTTATGTGTTTAGATAATCTACATACGTTCGCCTGATTATAACACAACGTTGGTTCAACTTTTTGTCTCCTTAATAAACTAGGAACAAAATGGGAGGGTGGGGGGGTGGTTTGCCTTTTGTAGTTAGTACCACGGATACAGGATGTTTTAAATCTTTACTGTGTTCTCCCCCAGGACGGTCAGTCACGAACTGTGCGTCAGTTCCAGTTCACTGACTGGCCAGAACAAGGCGTGCCAAAATCCGGAGAAGGTTTTATCGATTTCATTGGACAGGTACATAAGACCAAGGAGCAGTTTGGCCAGGATGGCCCCATCTCTGTCCACTGCAGGTAGGCACGCGCGGATGGAAACATCTAATTCATCTAAGGATGCAAAAGAGCCTAAGGAATTAAAATCCTGCAGCTGTCTCCCTCCTTTCCCACCCCATCTTTGCAGGCAGGTTTCTTGGGGGTGTCTGGATGGGGTGCCAAACACTGTTGCTTCTGCCAACTAAACTCACTTGCCTTCAGACTTGGGCACTGCCCACGAGGCCTTTGACCCTTTCTGTCTATCTAGGAGGGAGGCATGAAATGCTGATACTCTGGGGGAGGTGGGAACCACAGTGTTAATCACTATTTGACCTGCAGAATTAGAAGGGGTTTTGTTCCAGTTCTGCACCTCTGATAGCAAAAATTGTACCTCCCTACCCCTGGGCAGCAGAGGACAATGTGTTCTTCAGATTATTTAATTTTAAAAGCCTCATGTTACATGGTAGTAATAATTTTCACACGGAACGCTGTTTACCACTACCCAAAGCTTTTGATTTTGTTCTTATTTCGCTTTCTCCAGCATTTGTTTGGGTCACACACTCTGGCAGTTTTAGTATTTCCCACCTCCTGGAGGCCTGACTGAGCCTCTCTGGTTCTAACAAGTTCATGTTCATAAGACACAGCTCAACCGTACCGTATCCTCAGCATTTAGGAAAGCATTGGAACGCTGTAACATACAGTTTCCTTTTTTTCTCCCATTCCTGCAGTGCTGGCGTGGGCAGGACTGGAGTGTTTATCACCTTGAGTATCGTCCTGGAAAGAATGCGTTACGAGGGTGTTGTAGATATTTTCCAGACAGTAAAGATGCTGCGAACACAACGACCCGCTATGGTGCAAACAGAGGTAAGGGGGAGCGGGGAGCCCCGTCCTCTGTCACGGGTTGGGGACCGAGTAGCAGAACACCACGGCTGCAGATCCAGCTCCCCTGGCTGCCCTGGCTGAGCAGAGCAGGATTTTTGCCTTTCCAACCCCTAGCAAAACCTGAGTAAGCAAGTTCAGGCTGCACGGCTGCTTTTACTTAACTAATACCACCCCCAAAAAATAAAAAATCCTATTGTTATAAAGTCTCTTAAATATTTTCTCCCAGTCTGCCAGCCCTGATTCTTATCTCATCCCTGGCCCTGAGGTCAGGGGGATCCACCTGCCTCTAACCACAGCCCACACCTTGGCTGCAGAGCCAGAATGGTTAGTGGTGGGATGATTGGTATCTACGAGATGGACAAACGATAAAGGGAAGGGATTTCTTTTCCCTTGAAAATAAAAGAGTCTGTGCTCGCTGGGAAGCCGGGCAGGGATCCCCACGAGCCCTTTCAAACCTCTGAAGCTGCTTCTCTTCGCTGTTCGCAGGATGAATACCAGTTCTGTTACCAGGCAGCTCTGGAGTATCTGGGAAGTTTTGATCACTATGCAACATAAAAAGCCATCCGTTGTGCAGACTCTACCAACCACTTAAGTCCTGGAAGGCCTCTTTTGACCCAGGAGGAGTGCTTGAACTTACAAAACTGAATCAGAAGTACCTTTTTCATCTGGACAATGCATCGGGGAACAGGGGGAAGGATGGAAAGGAACACCCCTTCAGGAACTCCATGTTGTAACCTGGACCGTGAAGAGGCAGCTCAGGAGGTTGCTGAAGGACTGCTTTAAGTGGTGAACTGCTCTTGTTACCTCAAGTGGTGTTCGCTGTGGAGGACGTATGGACATCATGGAACAGATCCAAAAGCTAAAATCACACCTTGCGAAACGTTACTGCTGGAGAAGGGAAGGAAACCGACTTTGGTTACATCATTAGAGTTCAGTTTATTTACTAATATAGTTGGCAGTCTTTAAAGGAAGTCACTTGCAGAATCGAAGGTGTTCTGTAAAAGATAAGGAACAGCACTAAATCTCAACACTTAGGCAAACTTAGGGTCAGGAGTTCTTCTAGCTGGAGTCTTAATAACCTCAGTCTCAACATTGGGATGATTCTGGGCTTACAGGCACCTTGCCAACAGCATTCACGGAATGCCCCTGCCACGCCACAGGTTTTATAGCTCACGTTTTGAATACTTGGAACATTCCTCATTTCTTCTAATTCCAAAATTTATTTTTTAGGATATTTTAAATTATAGAGAAAGAAAGAGAGAGAGAGAAACCCCAGCCCTGTGTGGTGTGGCCCCCTCCCCTCGCACACTGGTGGGGACAGGTAGAGGTGGCAGCTCCCCGGGGCCGGGTTCGCTGACGGCTGGTTCTGTTCCCCCTTTTCAGCACATCCAGCTACACAAAGGCATTAATTTGCGGAGCGGTGGGACACCCCATAAAGAAAGGCAGCCCCGTGCCCATTCTCTTTGCACATTCACACAACCCCACTCCTGCTGCCGGGCTGCCCCGCCGGTTCCTGCCGCGGAAGGCCGGGAGCATCGCTCCGGAAGGAGCCCGAGCAGCACCCTTAAGAAATTCATTTCCACTAGCCAACTGCTTCTTGCTGCCAGCCCCTCACCTCGGAAGGCAGCAGCTCTCCGGGAGCGATGCAGATACTCTCAGGACCGCCGCGGCACCACGTCACACCGCGCCCCCTGGCACAGCTACGAACGTGCCCTGGCTGTAGAAATTACTGGGAAAGATCAAGTCAGATGCATTCAATGGCATAGACTGTGAGTGGCTTTCTTTAAAGTATCGATGTAACTGTAACAAGTGACATTACCTTTTTTTTAAATAGTGTATTTTTTCCTTTTTTTTAAAAAAAAAAAAGACAAAGAATATCAGTCAATGAATTTAAAAGAAAAATTTGCTTATTTGTTCATATTATGTTCAAAGACAGTCTATTTTTTCACTGTAGAAATGTTACGTGTAATGGCTGTGATATATAAAAATGCCGTGCAAATTGCTACTTCTACATATTGCTTTTCTACCATTTTAAAGGTTTAACTTGCTCATGTAAGAACAAGATGTCCTTTCTGGATTTTTTTTTTTTTTTCGGGTTCTTTTGTTTTAAATCGCAGACATATCCCGTGTCTCTGGAAGGGTGAGAGCAGCAGGCAGGCCGGGACACGGTGGCAGTGCCAACCCGCTCCCCTCCAGCTGTGGCCGTGTTGCCTGGTCTTAACGGGGCCAGGGCTGAACTGGGAGATGAACCACCAGTGTCTTAAGAAGACTGAAGACAGAAAGACAGCGATTTCGGCGCCATGGCACACATCAGCGCACACACAGAGGTTTTTTTTGTTGTTTTTGGTTTGTTTTTTACCATCAAAGGTGTATTGTAGGTAACGGCCCGAGTCTGTCCGTGCGCTGGGTTGTAGACACAAAGCTCTTGCAAGTGTACGTGACGAGGAGTTTCCGTGCAGAGGTGCACAGAGGACAGCATGTCTTGGAAAAGACACACTGCCCGGAACACTGCTCGTAAAACTGCTTGCCTGTGACTTTTCCTTATTTTTTTTTTTTTTATTTTTCTAGAAGGGGTAATCATGGCTATCAAGTGCTACCCAGAAAACCCCACAAGATGTGATTTTCGGCATTTAAAAGAAAAAAAAAAAAAAAAGAAGAAAAAAAAAGAGAAACGAATGAAAGGCTTCTTCAAGAGTTTACTTCTTATTTGTGTAAAAGTTGCCCAAATTTCTAAGTATGTTGCAGCAAAATCTTACTGGACGAGTTGGGGGGAGGGGGGAGGTTTTTTCCTTTGTATGAGAGCAAAGTGCTGTTGCTTTCACACTGTTATTTCAAACTGAAACAGTAAGTGGTTTTCATACCACTGTGTATGTAGATATATTGACTTTGTATTAAAGGAAGATTGTCTGACAGCCCTGGCTGCAAACCTCTTTGTGGGCACGAGCGGGCGCCGGACGACGCGCGACTGCAAAAAAACCCGTTCCCTGGTGCCCGCGGCCGGATAGCAGGTCGCCCTCCCTCTGCTGGGCTTATGCTCCTTCTAAAAACAGGCCACCTTCACAAGCCAAACACGTGGTTGTAAAGAAACAAACTCGTTTGGAGAGAGTTTTTGGCCAAATAGCCGCCCGAGCTCGCTGCTGGTGTAGGTGCAGCTGCTGGTTTCGGCGGAGCAGTGCGGACTGGGGCACTGGCACAGCCCGGGCCCTGGCCTGCCCGCCGCGGGTGCGTGGGTTATGCCCAGCGTGAGGTTTAAAACCTTCGGTGAGCTCCGTTTCTGCTGCCTTCTCTGCGTCTCCCTTACGCGGGGCAGCGGCTTCAAAAGGAGCAGATCCTGTCCCCCTTACTTGCTCGGGCTGGAGCCCGGGTGGGACGCGGATGCCAACAGCCGGGGGGATTAAAAACCGGATTAAAAACCTCAGCGAAGAAACAGACTTACCCAAAGCAGACGGCGGCGAAAGCCAAAGGTCCCCTTCGTGGCCGCGGCAGACGGCGCTCTCCCTTGTTCTGCTGCTGGAGGGTCCCGTGTCTGCGTTGAGAAGGACAGTCCAGGAGGAGAAAGCAGCTGGCAACAACTCTGCTGCCTGGAAAAGCCCGTGCCCGGCGCTGCCGTAACCTGCACGGCAATGGGGTGGCAATGCTGAAAGCAGAAAACTCAGCTGCCTTCC